AGGGGTTTAGGGTTATATTGAATGCATAGGTGCCCCAGCATCCTGCCCCAGCCCCTTCCTTCCTTCCCAAGCAAAATCCAGCCTTCAGCTCCCTCCTGCGAACCTCTGAGAAGACCTCCTAAACCCTAAAACTCCAATACCTTACATGGGTGGTTGTCAAAATTAGGGTCCCTTTTTGGGTACCCTAAATAATAGGTGCCGTATCATAATAGGGACCCAAAAAGGGACCATAATTTTGACAACCACCCACATAATGATAAACCGTAGATAACCCTAATGCCCCTTTAAGCCATGTATAGGGTTCAGGGCTCGAAGCTCCGTCGGCACCGAGGTCCTGAAAGGTCAATTTGGCCGGCATCGCAAAGACCTGCGAAAGACAAGAAAACCCTGAAGGGTTCCTAAAAAGGATCCTTCAAGGGTTCCCTTTAAGGGGGTTCCATTAAGGGTTTCATTAAAGGTTCAATTGAGGGTTCCATTACAGGTTCCTTTTTGAGATTCCTTGAAGGATTCCCTAAACACTTAGTTGCTGAGTTCATAAGCCCCCCACAAAGTGCACACTTTCAGTTTTATCGTGGGCAATCTTATCCCCAAAAGGTGTAAGCCCAAAGGCTCCATGTACCCATATAGTAGGTACTTAGGGCTTAAAGTAACCATATAGAGACCCCTTTAGGGCCTAAGTACCTACTATATGGGTACATGGAGCCATAGGGAAAGTGTATCCACTCAGCTGCTAAGAACAGCTTCCTCTCCGGACTCCTCGTCTAGGATGCCCAGTAACCTAGGAATAACAAAGGCTCCCTTTTTGGTATTGTGTAACTTTATAAGGAAGCCAGGACTACAAAAAGGGAAAAAGGGCCCACTGGGAGGCTTAGTTATACTTGGAGGATCATGGGACTTAGTGAGTAAGGTTATAAGTAGGTTATTATTAGGATAACCCCACTTTGGCGACTTATAACCCTAATTATAACCTACTTACTAAGTTCCATGATCCTCTAAGCAGGGTCCCTGGAAGAGCTCCTTCAGAGACTTGGGGCCTTAAGTTTTTGGCTAGCCAGGACGAAGCCCCGAAGCCCCGAGCTACCTTTAAAAGAGAGGCCTGCGGCCCACGTAGTGTTCCCAGAGACTCCAATATCCCTTAATTAAGGAATATACCTTAAACCATATTCGGGATCCTATTATAATTTAAGATATATGCCTTAACTAAAGGATATTGGAGTCTCTGGGTTCCTTCGTAATTAGGATGGGGCATCGGGGGGGGGGGGGGGGGGGAGGGTCTATACGTAAACCTGAACCTAAACCCCAAATTTTAGCCACAAAGGTCTAAGGCCAACGCATTGAGGGCCCCCCTCAACAAATACCCAAGTGCTGTCTGTCGTGATGTACTCGTCTGTCGAGTACACTTTAGGGAAGCTAGATGTCCGGGCACTTGGTTTGGAAGTTTTTGTAGCCTAGGTATCCGTGTCTGGTCGTGTGCAAGGTCATCGTGCAAAGTGCGCTGAAAGCCTGAACATGTTGATGAAAGCAAGACAACATGACATGAGATCCTCGGTTTAGGGTGTCTAGGTTTTCAAGTCTTGATTCCGAAACCCGCACATGTCGAATAAACAGTAGGAGGACTCATGAGTGTATCCTCTTTTAATATGCTGCCTTAATTCCAAACGACGTTCGAAGTGCTCAGTAAGCCCCCAAGACGTCCACCCTTGACCCCTCCTTCCCGGCCTGGCAAGGACTCCAAGCTCACGGCGAGTGCTACGCTAAGGGTTTAGCGAGCTCCGGGCTTCGACAGAGATGTTGAAACAATTGGTTTAGAGTTGAGGGTTTAGAAAACTTTCTTGAGACAGTGATCGTGGTAACAATGGCCGTGCATACGCGAGTAATCGCTGCATCATGGGAATAAAGATATGTAATATGTACGTAGCTAAGATAACGATGTGAAATGCTGTACTTCATGCACTCATCTTTTGAACGTGAGACGAGTATCAACTGCCGACTTGCCATCGTAAGCTTTCCGAGTGGTTGAGACATTGCTCACATGGTATCCTGACTTGCCTACCGACAGTCTGTTTGCCCGAGCTGCGGCTGCATCGTCTTCGAAGACCCACACCGGCAAAGCCAGGATTGTTGGATTGCACTGGCGTTGGTCGAGCGGCGCAGGGCACAAAATTGGAAGTCGCAAGATACGAAAACCTGGTGTGTGGTACCCAACTTTGCGTTACAGTCACGACTCTTTCCCTAGACTCAACCCTCAATCTCAATCCCTTCAACCGAATACAAGCAGGCGCCCAACGAGGGTATCGGTCATTAAGTGTACTGCGGCTTAAGGGCAGGGCCTGCGATGCAGTGAAAGACCATGCAAGCTACAGGGTTTGGGGTCTGCTCAGAGGATCATGGGACTTAGTAAGTATGGCTATAAGTCAGGTAACTCTATTCATATCGATTCATATCTACTTATAACTCCACTTAAGGTACTTATAACCCTACATACTAAGGCCCATGATTCTCTAAGTAGGGTTAGGGTGTAGGAACCCAGAACCCCCAAAGTGCTGCGGTGCAGATGCAAGACCTCTCATGAAGCCTCCGAGGCTTGACATCTGAGGGTTTAGGGTGCCACTGTGCCATACACTACCACGGCAACCACCGCAACACTGCCCTCTCATCCCCTAAACCCTGAACCCTAAACCTCCCAGTACACGTCGAGTTTCTGGCGGAGAGTGATGCATCTCGTGGGATTCGGTGCAGCCAAGTGATGTTGCCTGCCAAATTTGTTTGAACACCAAGCGCCACTAAGAACCAACATTACAATTAAGAGTTTTCATAGAATACATGCTTGGAGATCTATTATATTAATCCCCGCGGGCTTTGTTCTGAGTTGGAACCATAAAAAAGAGAACAATGCCTAAGAACGCTTTCGTGAAGGGCGGCTTCATGTTCAAACCAACGCCGTGTCCTTGTGAAGATCTTCCGGTGTTCAGTAACCCGAAACCCTACATTATGAAAACCTAACGCAAGAAACTGCTATAGAACTATATACATACATACATACTTACTTACTTACTTACGTACTTACATACATACACCTACATACATACTTACATACATACATAGACTTTATATATATATATATATACTGATATTGTTTGTATGTATATCTCAAGCCCTACACTCTATACCCTCCACCCTAAACCCTAAACCCCCAAACCCTAAACCCCTAAACCCTAAACCTGAGCCCCAAAGGCTGAGTAGCGCAGGTTTGGCCTCCAGCAGGCAATTTCCGATGGACTCGGATCCGACCGCTGTGCGGAAACGGCCAGCAGTTTACATCCTTGGCCAGACACAGAAATGAAAGGTTAACTTTTCCGATTCCTACTACACTATAAGAACCCAAAAAGTTTGAAGGTTAGGTATTGTGGGAGCGTTCGAAAAAAGGGGGTCACCTGATTCCTGATATGGGGATCCTTATAATAAGGATCCTACTATTTAGGGTACTATATTAGGGTCCTTATTATAAGGATCCTAGGGTACCCTATCTTCCTACTTGGGGTACTATATTGGGGTCCCCTCTTTTCGGAAACTCCCAGATGGGTTTAGGGGAGCTGGTAAGTCAGGGTTTAGGGTGGTTTAGGGGGCTTAGTAAGTAAGGGTTGAGAGTTTAGAGTTTAGGGTGGTTTAAGTAGATTAGGAAGGGAGGGGGGTTCCTTGGAGGGAATCTCTACGGGTTTCTAAAAGGGTTCTTATGGAATTTTAGGATTGAGGGCACTTGGTCAGTATGACTAGGGTGGTTTAGGGGACTTAGTACGTAGGCTTATAGCCAGGCAACTGTAGTTGTACCCACCTATAACCCTGAATGAGGTACTTCTAACCCTACTTACTATTACTAAGCTCCATGATCCTCCCTGCTTGCCAGGTTATATGAACAAGGGGCACCTAAAGCACAAAACATGGGTATGTATAGAGGATTTGCGAGGGCTCCAAACAAAAAGAGCGCCTTGCATCTATAGAATCGGCTTGTATATGGGGCATTGTAGGGTGTCTTATAAGCTTTCTATGGGTGATGTAGGTAAGCAGGTTTTTTGGCCAGCTGGCATCAAGAAACTTTGGTCCTTCTGCTTCGGGCCTTTTGTTCATTGCAGGCACCCTTGGCTGTAACAGCGGCCCGGGCTTCTGCGGGTGTTTGGATTTCGGAAGACCCAGAGAGCCCAATACCCCTTAATTAAGGAACACAGCTTAAATTAAAATGTGAAGCCCTATACAACTTAATCCAAAGTCCATAATTAAGGCGTATTGGGCTCTATGGGGATGGGTCCCGCGAAGGATGCCGCAAGCCATCGGGAATTTGCGCTCTGCACTGGCCGTTGCCAGGCGAAATTGTCCAGGAAAGAACCATCTTAGCATGCCACTACAGCATACGAACTCGAACAGTCAATCCCAAACGATTGTACTGCAGTAAACTATGCATTGGTGAATTTGGACACCGTTTGGCTCTACTCACCTAGACCCCGAAAAGTAGGTAAAATAATGGTCCAAAACCTATAAAATGCTATTATTCTACATACTTTTGGAGTCCAGGCAGACACCTATAGGATTCTATATCTGAATTCCAAAAAGGAACTACTTTGGACCCTTAGGGTACCCAGACACTTTCCTGAAGTGAGGGGGGGGGGGGTGGCCAGCACAGAGATCGCAGGGCCTCCTGGACATGGGACAGTTTGATGTTCCCAGAGAGCCCAATACCCCTTAACTAAGGAATACAGCTTCAATCATAATATGAAGCCCCATATATATATATATATATATATATATATATATATGGGTGGCTGTCAAAATTAGATCCCTTTTCGGGTCCTTATTATAATACGGCACCAATTATTTAGGGTACGCAAAAGGGGCCATAATTTTGACAACTACCCATATAATTTAAGCCATATTCCTGGTTCAAAGGGCTCTCTGGGTTGATGTCGGGCATCCACACTTGGGGTCCCGAACTCGCCCGCTGCGCGGGCTTACCTCAAGCTTTCTGGAAAGATGTCCTTTTCGATGTTGCAGTTTGAAAGCATCAGAACATAGCCACTTTCGTGGCATCCATACTCCTGCGAAACGGGCCAAACAGTAATACCGCCGCGCTCACGGAAATAACCGGAATCCTCCACGCTGCTAAACACTGCAGGGAAGCTGCTGAAGAATTTTGCATAGGTTTTGGTTCGGCTCCGGCAGTAGCTTGCAGAGGAGGGTATCTGCAGCCAGCCCTCTCCGCTGCAAACGTTCTCGCGAAGGTAACCTTGAAGCATCCGGCCATCGGTGCTCAAGGGCTTGTTATGGATGTGGAACTGGTCCTGTCCCCGCTTGCACTTTGGGTTGCACAGCAATGCACAGCCAACTTGGAGGCCTTGGCCATCCAGCATGCATCCTCCCTTCCTGGGGTCTTGTTAAGGACTGTAATTTAAGTTACAACAATAAATAAGCATATTACTTGTTATAGATTTTTATTATGGTAGCTTGAATAAAAAACTCCTTAGCAAGAACCCAGTTTCTTGGCGGCGTCCCAGATCCAATCCCAATCGTCAGCTCTGTGCCATCCGTCTTGGATCTCCTCCGAGCCACTAAACTTCACGATTGGGTCGGTAAGGTATCCGTGGAAAAGGCTGCAGTAGTGCTTGTTTCTGAAGATGACATCGCGGCCGCGGCGCCGGCGACGGCTCTGGACACATTTGCGGTAGTGTTCACAACGGCGGTCATGCGAATGGTGGGGACAGTACACGAAATTGCAAGTTGCTGCATTCGTCAGCCCTTCAGCGTCTTCCAGACCGTGAAGCGAGCTGTTCACGCCCACCTTCATTCACAAGAAACACATCTGAAGGGCCTGGGACAAGCACTCACCCTACTGCAAACCACCTGGATTCCTGCCTCAGCATGCTCACGGCCGAGGTCCCGTGCCCTTCCTCTCATCTGCAGCAGCTCCAAGACTGTCTCTGCGCCGTCGCATTCCTCCTGAGCGAGATTTCACATGCAAACGACGCCCAAAGCTGACGACCCTTCAACAAAAAGCCCGGAACCACTTATCCCCACTCCTGCACGGCGGCGGAGACCGTTTGCTCCCCAGCTGTACCATCTTCCCCGAGTGCGCCGAGCACCAAGTGACAAAGTAACGGGCGCAGGAAGCGCAACATGTCGGAGGAACGACGGGTCCGGTCCCAAGTCGAACTAAACTAGACTGGAACTTAAACCTGGTAGCATGCGCGGTGATGTACGATGACGGTGCGTGGTCTTTCCGAAAGGCATTCAGGACGCGTTAGTTCAGGGTTCGGATCAAGTGTGAAGGGGGAGCGTAGTTAGCGCATATAAGCCGGCAAAGCTAAGGAGTAGAGCCCTTAAAGGCCGAGCTTGCCGCATGAAGGGCTCCAACTCTTGCACCCAGAGACTCCAATATTCCTTAATAAAGGAGTAATCCTTAAATTATAGTAGGATCCCTATTATGATTTAAGGAAATTTCCTGAATAAAGGAATATTCCTGAAGTTATAGTAGGATCCCTAATATGATTTAAGGAATATCCCTTAGTTAAGGGATATTGGAGTCTCTGGGCATGGCTTGCGGTTAAGGCTCGGTTACTCAGGGTTTAGGCGCCAGAGTTTGGGGTTTAGGTTGTTTCAGGGAACAGAGTCATCGTCAAGATCCCAGGGAGCCCAAACCCCTTAGGGCAAGGAACGTGCCTTAAAACGTCACATTCATATCAAGCGTGGAATACCTTGTTGTCTACGGTATAGTCCTCGATTACGGTGTATTTGGGCTCTACTGAGTAGATGTTCCATAGTAGTTCCTTTTTTGGGGGTTCATATTTAGAATCCTGTAAGGTAATCCCAAGAAGGAACTACAATGAAGCCTATGGGTAGGGGGCCCCCAGGATGGTGTTGCGATGTTGCCACCTCCCAACAGACAAGCATAGAACCCGAGCACTGCGACGCAATCCTGACATGGCTTAGGGTTTAGGGTTTAGGGTTTTAGGGGGCAACAAAGATAACAAAGCAACAGCCATGGACCCCAATGCTTCTGAACGAAACTTCCCATTCCAAGCCCAAGGATTCTTTAGGGTACTGTAGCTGAGGACGGGTCGTGCTTGAGGTTTGGGAGGGGTAGGGAAAGTGAGTCGAACTTGTTGAGCTTCTTGGTTCTCTTCAACACGAAGCAACCCTCTCCATAATATTCAGGTCAGTAGAGGAAGCCCACAAATAGCAAGGACATACAGGAACTGAGAACCCAGCGTCGAGCCTTTGGGGATTTAAAGGGACTCCTCATATCGAATCTGCAGTCCGAGATAGTCCGAGACATGGCTAAATTCTTACGGACCCCGAAGCCGGAAGACGGCAAGGGCTTGTAACGGGCTTATGACATGGGAAGCTGGGAACCAAGCAAAAGCCTACTGGTAGTGCGAGCACTGCAAAATAAAATGGCAAGTGCTACCGGAACCCCTGTGGTTGCTAGATCTGCTTGATGTTGCAAGGCTTTCGGACGAGGGCAACGGAAATTGCGGCCATGGGCTGCCCTTCTAATCTCACTTGTCACCCAACATATTAAATCCTAAACCGAAAACCTAAACTCTAAAACCTAAACCCTAAACGCTCGAAACGAGCTGGGTTTAGGGTTTAGGGTAACTTAGGGGTGCAACAGAAACTGAAACCTACACTGGAAACACGGCACTACTGTCTGGTGCTTCGACAGCCTCGATACGACTTTTAGCCTAACGCAGCAAGGGACTGAGCTGCCCACCCCGCCGTAGATGACGGGCCAGAACCCGTGCTCCTGGTTTCTGGCTTCAGGCCTAGGGCTGCTAGAAGTGCTACAGGGCCCAAACTCTAAGTCTAAAGATATGCAGAGTGTACCTTGGGCCCGAAAGAACCTGCCTTTTCGGACTCCTTATGATTATCTCGTCATGCAAACACTTTGGAAAAGGTAGGTGATTTAGGTCCGAGGGTGTGGAGGACAAATCCAAAAACACCGAACTGGAAAGCCCGCAAGCCACCAAAACTACACCCCTCAACCCTATAAAGCCTCAACCCTAAGCCCCAAACTCCAGACCCTAATCCCTGAAGCCTTAACCTCAAACCCTTAACCTCCGAAACGAGGGCTGCATCGGGAGTGGAGGGAAGATGGCAGATTCTATTTCGTTGAAGCTCCACGCCCCGCATTCTCGCGAATCGCTGCTCGTTCAGGTTTTGCTTATAGAGCTTATAGCCGTTTCCAGTCGCAGAGGCTACAGTTTCAATTCCCTAGAGAGCCTAATACACCCGACATACAAGAAGGGCAAACGTCGGCAAAATGCGGAGGGGTCCGGGCGCAAGGAAAGTCGTTTCTAAGTGAAAATTGAAGGGACGCACGCATGGAAGAATCAATCAACCAGACCTATGTTTGAAGCTAACATCTACGTCTTGAGGTTTCAGGTCGCACATTCGGGACCCAAATCCAAGACCCCCAAAACCCAAAGACCTAAACCCCAAAAGCCCGAAAAGCTAAACCCGAAATTCCATATAAACCCTAACCCCAGGCCCCAAAAGCACACAGACCTGAACCCTAAGCAACATCCCAGAACAACTTACTGAAACCCGAGGCCCTAAATGCCAAACCGGGAATCCTTCAACGAGGGCTTCGCCATCTGCTCATAGGCTGCAACGAGTTCCTCGTGAGGTGAAGGTCACTAAACTAAACCTGCTATATGGGTGGTTGTCAAAAATTAACGTCCCTTTTTGGGTACCCTAAATAATAGGTGCCGTATTATAATAGGGATCCAAAAAGGGACCATAATTTTGACAACCACCCATATGGGCCTATTAGTAATTCTCCAGACCCTGGACCCTCTATTAGAGAGCTGATGCCAGAGGCGTTCAAGGAATTTGGTATATGTATTTTATCTTCAGGACAAGGGCGAGCAGGCTACAGGACTAATATAGGGGCCTTAAAAATTAGAATAGGGTTTTGGGGCCCCTTACACTATAATTATAATGAGGAACCCCCAAAATAGCATAGGTAATTGTTAAGGCCTCTGTATTAACCGGAGCACTTTGTGGATATGCAGCAGTTCTTCCGGAGTGCTTGGAGATTGGATGGGAAGTAAGCACCGATGGGCAAAAATCGGCGGGAGTTTTCTTGTGCGGGAAAGTGTTGCGCGAGTTCCAATGAAACAAATCCAAGGGTTGAAATTTCTGACATCGAATACGACTACGACCTTGCGACTGTTGCCACCACTTCTTCCACAACTAAGCATGCAGTCTATTGATGTATGTTGGTGTTAAAATGGCCACTAACGTTATCATCAGTCTTACCTTGCTTACGTATGGTCCGTCCCGACGGGTCCTGTGACCTGAAAAGAGACTTGCGAGTGCTGACGTGCTTCGACTCGCAAAATGGTGCAGATGCCAATCTCTATTGATTATCGAGCTTGGGGGCGTGGACTCAGGTCCTCCAAAGGGCGTTGAAAAAGAACGTCGAAGGCGTCCACAAACACAACCTCAAGCCGCCGGCCATCACATGTATTGTATCGGCGGTTCACAATCCAGGGCAGTTGGGTCCACTTATCCGACATTGGACCAAGGTAGGCACTTGGATCCACAATAGTTTGTATAGTAGCTACTGTATGACTGACCATATGACTATATGACTCCTAGATATTCGGACCCTTCGGGGTGTATTGCCACATGTACTGCGAGACGATCCGAATCCAGCAGAATTAGTCCGGAAGCACTCCTTTAAGCCCCAGGCGCAGAGTCTAGGGCTCGAAGGCTCTACCGTGCAGCGCTGCCTTCATCTTCAATTGAAACCTCGAACTCCCCTTTCCCTCGCTCTCAAAGCTGAGAACCTGGCTGTGGTGTTCGCTGACATGTGCCTGGCAGTTGCAACTTCGCACATCCATTATAAGCTGAACCTCTCCATCCTGGCCTCACCGCCGATTGGAGGAAAAGGTGCTTCTTCAGCATGACAGACTGGCGAACAGCGCAACAGCACTTCAAGCCCACATGTATGCACTCCAAACACAACGCACAACACGGATAATCTTGCGGTCTCGAAGGACCGACATCAGATTTATGAGGATTTAACCCATATCTTCGACAGTCCATACAGTACTGCCGAAGACTCACATGCGCCCGCACTTGTTCATGAAACCCGTTTGGGCTTGGAGCTTCGGGTGAGATACCTTAATAAAGGAGCCTAAACAATAACCAATAGGGAGTTCCTTATTATTATAACCACAGTATATAAAATACCCCAAACCTTAATTATTAAGGCTCTTACAGTAACCCCCAAGACCTTGAACCCGAAAGCTTCTAAAGCATGGGTGCTAAACATCGGCTCTGCAGTAGACTCTTTGACCATCCCCCGGAACACGACACCGCGATACCCTTAACCCTAAATCTTGTAGATTTCCGCCCCATCAACAATGAAAGATGCAGGCATCAGTCATTCTTCGACAAGCAGACGGGTTGCACCATTCGTTCCAAGTTCAGCTGTAGCCTCCCAAAAACCGAAGTTTGCCCTGCTTCAAGCCTGTAGCAACCCCCAATCCCAGAGACTCCAATATCCCTGATTTAAGGAATATACCTTAAATTATAATAGGATCCCTCCTTACACCGCATATTGGAGTGTCTGGGCCTGTAGCAACCCCCCAATCTTTGGCGGCATGATTTTCTCCGCCGAGTCTCACTGCGATGTCACTGCGTCGCTTCTAGCGGGTTCAGTTCGAGGAGCCAAGTGGGGGTTGAGGGTTTGAGGGTTGAGAGGATGTAGAAAGTAGATCCCCTAATTTGAGGCCCTATTCTACCAAGGGTGCTTTATAGGAACCCCCATTACTGCATTAAGGGATCGAGGGAGCATACTTAGCCGCTCTCGGAGTGCGTCCCTTTTCCGCTCGCCGAGTCTTGGGGTTTATAGTTTAAGGTTCCTCGGTGCGGGGTTTTGAAGTCCCCTTGGCCACCTAAGCCCTGAAACGCGCGCGAAGCTCAGAGCTAAATGCCGCCGAAGGTGACGTTTACGCCTCTCGAAGGCAGAGAGCGGTACGGCTTGGGGTGTAGACTGCTCCCAAATCACCCTACCCTATCATAAGCCGGCCTTTTCATAACCCTAAGAATAAAGTTTTGTAGAATAGCCCTCAAGACTGATAGCTAACTCTAATATGCCTTATAGAAACCAGAAGCCTATACAGCGATATCCCTAAACCGAAGCTAGAGGTTTTTAGATCGGGCCCGAAGGATGCCAAAGGTTCCAAACAAAGAGAGGTTTTGTCATGCAGGGTTTGAGGCTTCGGGCTTAGGGTTTAGGGTTTGGGCTTAGGGGTCAGGGTTTAGGGATTAAATTAGGGTTTCGGGGTTAAGGGTGAAGAGAAGTGAAGGCTTTTTCACAGCCGCAACTTGCAGCAGCAGCTGGATCTAAAGTGGCTCGAAGTGCGACAGAAAACAAGTCGGACAGCTGACACCGTAGCGCCACACACCCAAGCCCTAGGTTCCCAGAGACTCCAATATCCCTTAATAATTACGGAATATACCTTAAATCATATTAGGGATCCTATTATAATTTAAGGCATATTCCTTAATTAAGGGATATATTGGAGTCTCTGGGCTCGTGATGCACCAACTTCATACTTCCCGCTCAACCTGAGGCCTGAGCTTTCCGAACAAGCGAACGTCCAACTTCAGATCTCTTCAAATGTTGCCAGCAGCTAGAACCCAGAGGGTCCATATACTCTACTAAATTGGCATCAGGCCCCCAAAACCATAATGGGGATGGTCTTTTGGTACCCAATTCCATAATGGTAGTGTATATGGGTGCTTGTCAAAATGATGGTCCCTTTTTGGGTCCCTATTATGATACGGCACCTATTATTTAGGGTACCCCAAGAGGGACCGTAATTTTGACAACCACCCACATGTTGCCAGAAGCTAGAAACGATCATTAAATCTACTGAAGCAGCTAAGCATTCAGGATATTTCCTCTGCTACTCTCCGCAGCAGCTCTTCACGCACAAATGATGACTGCACAGACGCCGGCGCTGACATAAGCGAGGAGTTATGCAGCTGTAGACGAAGAAAGCAGGGCTGATGCTGTTGTTGTCGTCGTTGTTGGTTGCCACAGTGGTGGTGGTGACTATGGTGAAGATGGTAATGCCGGTTGTAACAGCAGCGTGTTAATTAATTACGAATGAATCGGTGATGAAAACGATGCTGCTGATGACGATGATGATTATGATGATGATTCCGGCGGTGGTGTCTGGTGGTCGCGTTGGTGGTGCTGCTTGTGCTGCTGGCGGTGGTGGTCGGGGCCGTGACCGTGCTGGTGGCGAGCAGTGAGTGCCAGCCCCTGAATCCTGAATCCTGAGCCCTCGACCTTAAACCCCAAACCCTAGGCCCTAAACCCTTTTGCCCTGCCCGGTGCCTTTGGGGATCTTCATGAAAGCGGAGAGGCGTGAGCCCTGCGTAGGTTCAGCATGGGCTCTCGGGAAGTTGTCGAGGTTTGCTTTCCCCGGGAAGTTTCACAAATATGGATTTAAGTTTAAGCGTCCTTGCAACACGGATGACTGCACTTTCGCACCTCGGTGCCACCACTACGGGCATCATCACTCTTGCGACCGAAGGTTCGGAAGAACCTCTGATAGCAAACCCAGACTTCGAAGAAGCCTTGAAAGTTGGAGGCCTTTCGGAAACCCGAAGCCCATGATTTTAGACCAGGCCGGCCCACCCCAACCCCCACGACAAGAAGCCTTTAGCCCAAATCCTGCAACAATCGTACACACTGTTCAGGATCGTCGGATTTCCAGTGAGGGAACCCGGTATGATTTCACATTTCGGACGGAAGTGGCTGAATGAGGGTTTACCCATAGGCTCCATGCTAGTTCCTTGTTGGCATTACCTTATAGGATTCTAAATATGAATCCCAAAAAGGAACCACTATGGAGCCTCTCGGCATAGGCAGTACTTTAGGGCTTTGGTTTTCAAGTTCAGGGATCTCAGGCATTAGGACCTTCTGCGGGTTTTGGCGTCTTAGGGTTGAGGGCTTCGCCCTTCGGCGCTCCTGAGTTTCGGCTGCTGAAGTTCCTGAAGGCAATTGAGTGGAGCCTGTAGAATCCCCGTTGACATCCTGCACGACTTCCGCAAGTTGCACAATAGACCTTTCAACTCGAAAATAACTCAAACTGAAAACCTAAACCCTAAACTTAAATCCTAGAACCTATAAACGCTACAGCAACCCCTTCAAGCACCAGCAAACGTCGATTACAAGCTCAGGCTTTGACTACTACTTCCTGAACTCCCACAGCCTGGTTGAATCCCAGAATCTCACCCCCGAGCCAAAACATCGTAAAATCCTAAACTGGAAGCTTTGGAATCCCCATGCCGTAAATCCCTGAGCTCTGCGCCTGATACTGACCGCCCAGGTAGGAAGGTAAAATTTCAAGATCGACTCCCTGAGTTGAGGTTTAAGGTTTAGGCTTTTCCGAAACCCGAAACCCTAAAACCTGAGTTTGAGTTCTTTGTTTTTTTTATAATATTTCTTTGGGGTTTAGGGTTTAGGCTTTGGGGCCTTAGGGCTTTAGAGGGTTTCTCGCTGGTTGCCAATTAGTTATAGGGCTTTGTGACTTTGTGCGGGCTGTATGCTTAGGAGTGTAGGATTTGGGCTTGAGGTTTTGGCTGCTCGGAGTTTCGGGCCTTGCGAGTTAAGGGTTGCAAGGCGCCACGAGAAGACAGTGGCCCTCCTTAAGGCTCCCAGAGACTCCAATATCCCTAATTAAGGAACATACCTTAAATTATAGTAGGATCCCTATTATGATTTAAGGAATATTCCTTCTTTAAGGCATATTGGAGTCTCAGGGCTTAAGACGTTCAAATCTGAACTTGGGAAGCCCCCCCCGACACGGAGACCCCTGATTCTGTACCCTGAATCCTAAACCCTAAAGCCCGACACCCCGAGACTATCCCTAAGGCTCAAAATGGCCCAAAAGCCTATATAGTATGGTCTTTGGGCCCAAAAGCCTTAAAATAGGAGTCCTTAGAGCCTAAGGGTATGGTTCTGAAACGGCCTATACTGCAATTACCGCCTATACCAGCCAGGTCTAACGTAGACCCTGAGAATCCAAACCTCAAGCCTTTAGAGACCTGGCACCCTGAGAAATTTCTACCCATTTCGGTACACACCCTAAACCCTTGACCCTACACCCTAAACAGCCCCGAGCCCCAAACCCTGAAAGGGGTGCCAGCAAGCATCATGCTCCCTGAGCGGGGCGATGAAGTCCGACCCGTAGATCCGCACTTTCCTGACTTAACCTAAACCCTTAACCCTAAACCCCCAAAATGGAGCCTATTAAACTGCGGGTGTTTGCTACGGTTTATGAGGGTTTAGGGTTACAAACAGTCCTCTCTATGGCTTTACTTCCAATGAGGGTTCGGGGGTATACAGTCTTCTGTGGCCGTGTTTGTACTTGTTTAAACATGGGGTTAGTGTAATTAGAAGATTTTACCATTTTAGTTGCATGACGGTTGAGGGCTGCGTAGCATAGAGTCAAAGGCCTTACCGGGCTCACTACAGGGTGTGGATACAAGCTAAACCCAGCCTATCAGGTTTGATTAGGGTCCAGGGCTGACGCTTTAGGGTGTTGGTATCTACAGCTTCGAGTTTAGGGAATGAGGTGCTGATGGTATGGATTTAGTGTCAGTGTGGGGTTCGGGGTCTAGATGTTCGGACTGACGGCTTAAGCATCCGTGACAAGGTTGCTCGCGTGGGGAGGGCCCATAACCTCCCTCCTTGGAGAATAAACCGGAGCATTTCGCTTCAAGCACATTCCGCGAATTGTGTTCGGCAAAGTTTACTGTTTCAAAGACCTGCTGTACGTCTGAGCATATGTTCACAAGGACATGCAGTACAGCAAAATCTGTAGTAACCTCCAGGTATGGGAATGGCATCAGGTTTTAGTTAGTTTATCATCGTAAGCCCCATAGAAACCACACGAACCCTATAGACGACTGTAGAATCCAAGCATCTCAGCAGTGGTCGGAGCGATCAACACTGAAAGAAAACGCCAAATCTCGACGAAGACGGCTGGAGCGTTTATGACCTGCTGCTTGTCGGTCGGAGCCGTCGGAGCATAGTTGTTAAGATGTAGCTATAGTTTAGGGTTTAGGGTTTAGGGTTTGGCTATAAACTTGTATGATAGATGATCAAAAGCATATGGGTATAGGGTTAAGGCTGTAGGGTTTACTATATGCTCTAGGTTTATGACGTGCAGCTTATGGGTTTGGCCTTAGGCTCTGGGTTGCAAGGTCTGGGGCTTATGATTGGCAGCTTGTGCATTTAGGAACCGACTTTGTTGCTATGCTCCTAGGGATAAGCCTTTCTGGCTTCTTAAAATGTGATTTACCTGGTACTAGCCTTCCTAGTTTAGGATTTAAGTAAGGAGAATTCATGCCACGAGTTGAAAGGTTCAGGATGAAGTTCGGGAAGCATTGGAAAATAACTCAACCCTATGGAACTTGAATGACGAAGCACGCAGCAGCACTGAAGACCTCGAACACTACACTGAACCTATTCCCTGACAGCTCCCCTGCAGGGGTCCATTAGCGCGTTTGGCTCAGGATGGTTCAGGTTTCATTGAGGGTTTAGGGCTCAATGCTTTTGTGTACATATATATATATATATACAGACTATATTCATATTCTGTGTGTGTGTGTATATATATATAGAGTAGTACTTAGAGTACCCCCTAAATCCTTAGCCTCTAAACACCTTCGCCTGCTGGGTTACGAGGAGAAGCGATGGAACGAGGTCTTCCTGTCTTCCTGCTGCCCAAGCACGATGATGGCTCTCACCAAGTCCGGGTAGAACTCATTCATGACCTTCGGTTTATGCCGTTGAAAATGTCAAGTTGAAGGGATAGCCTGTCATTCCAGAACCGTCCGCAAAGCTCGGCCCTTGTCTGGTAAGTGGCTGTTCATGTTCCTAGCTTCCCGCGTTTAGCATCCAACATGCTGCCGACAACCAGCGCTACATGGACGTGTCGGGTTCAATGCACGCCTGCAGTTGGTCAAACCCCGAGCACACCAGCACCTGTCCTCAAACGATATAATGTAACACACGAGGTTGTACAGAAGAACTTTGCAAAACAACGTACCCCTCCACCGAACACCAAGGTAGATACCCTAAACCCTAAACCCTAAACAACCGCAGCTTGGAGCCTCTTACTCGTTTCTCTGTGTCTTGAAACGGAGTATTCCTGCACGGGTTTGGGGCTTTCCTCACCACGACTTCGGAGAAAGGCACTGCAACGAGTAAGGAGTCTTTTACACACAAGGCCCAGTAACCTCTGAGAAGGAAATAGAGCTTACATTGGGCTTACATCATATTCAGGACTCTTGCAATCCTGTCATTGAAGATTCCTTGCTTTACCCTCTGAAGGTAGACCCGACTTGACATGTGCCGGCAATAGAGTGCCGCGGCTTGGGCCATTGGGGACGAACTTGTTGAATTGAGGTCTCGGACCCGCCAGCCATCTAGGATGCAGCACTTGCTGAGTAAGCTCCAGAACAAACCTACGAGTCCAAAAAACCTAAAAATTATGTACTTGGGTTTTGGATAACTAATAGTTTTGTAGGCTAGTAGTTGGGAGCATATATGACATGATTGTTAGACACTTGGACGCCAGGCTAAGTGTGTTGCACGGCTCGACAGTCAGGCTGATCAAGCATGGCCTGCGTTAAACATGCATGCATTACAAATCCTCGACCAGCACTCTTCCCCCTAAACTTGGCCCTACCTATAGTCTCCATTGTAGTTCCTTTTTTGGTTTAACCAAATATATAATAAGGATCCTATAAGGTAACCCCGAAAAGGAACTACAATGGATACTACAGGTAAATCCTAAATCCTAAACATCCATGGCTACTCTTTGCTGTTCATGCACACTCCAGCTGATACTTCTAGCCGCTCAATGCTTGCAATAAAGCGAAGATGCACCTGTAACACGGCATTTTATGGGAGGTTCGATTACTATAACCAATACTATGGTGGGGGTTCCTTATTATGGTTGTAGTACTTGGAGGGTCGGGGGACTTAGTAATTGGTTATTTTAGGGACTTATAAGTACCATAACCCCAATTATAGGGTCCCTTTCAGGGTACTTATAAGTCTACTTACTACCTACTTACTAAGTCTCCCGACCCTCCAAGTATAATGGGCCCCAAAACCCTGTTCTAATTATTAAGCACTGGCGGCTTTGTTTGCATCGCTGTCTGCGGAACTGAGACCCTGGGCTTCGTATCCAACTCTGTTAGGGTTTAGGGTTTAGGGTTTAGGGAAAGGATATCTACTTTTGTAGAAACCTGCAGATATCAGCAGCGGAGGCACGACCAACCATGGCTTAAATGTCGGGAGGTACCGCACGATGGAGAGTGAAACACCTCATGAAACTTACTCTGGAGCTGGCATCTTGCTGCAGATCGGAGTCCATGGAATTTAACTAAACTGCATCGCTGGTTCCAGTTCTAGCTAGAGGATACCGGAATCAGGACATCGACAGGTGAACATACCGTGCCATCCCTGCCACCCCCTTCCCCAAAACGATTTAGCGTCTCAGGGCCCATGGTGTGGCCCTAAACCCTAAGCCCCTAAACCCTGGCCCTAAGTCCGCTCCGCATAAAAGGGTTTAGGGCACGACCGAAACATAACTTGCGGGGAGAGAACCCTCACAGGGACAAGCCTGCAGCCCAACACATGGCAACTTCTGTAGCGTTTTCGTTCTGAAAGCTTCAGAGTGAGTGTGTGACGGGTAGGATGTAATCGCGAACCGTCTTTTGTCGTCGAGAACTTGCGACTCTAATGTGGAGCATCGGTCGGCTCGAAAGGGTTGAAGTTGCTGCGAGTATGTGCTTGTCACAGTTACAATTACGTAGAAGGGTGGTTGTAAAAATTGGGGTCCCTTTTTGGGTACCCTAAAATATTAGGTGCCGTATTATAATTGAGGGACCCAAACCGGGACCCTAATTTTGACAACCACCCAGAAGCGATCCGGAATTAGGGTGTAGTTGATTTCAGTGAGATGACCTCGTTTCCTGATTTCATCTCCTGCAGCTATGCAAATCAGTGGTTGTCAAAATTAGGGTCCTGTTTTGGTTTCCTATATTATCATACAGCACATATTATTTAGGGCACCCAAAATGGGACCTTAAGTGACAACCACCCAAATGGGAGTTTCCTAAAATAGGGGACCCTAATATAGTACCCCAAATAGTAGGATCCTTATTATAAGGACCCCCAACAAGGTACCCCTAATTTTCGGAAACTCCCAAATCGAAGGTCAACCCATTCTCGGACGAGCGACCCGCAGCATCGATAATCGTGGTCCCGCGCACCATCCTGGATCAGCACATGGGAGTTTCCGAAAATAGGGGTAATCTATAGTACCTTAAATAGTAGACTCCTTATGATTATAAGGACCCCCCAAAATGAGGTACCCCTAATTTTCGGAAACTCCCACATAACTGCTCAAAGCAAAAACCTCACAGAGGGCCGCGCCTCCGCTGCTTCACAGAAGCTGCATGCGCGGACCACAGCATGTCTTCCAAAAGGAACACCCACCTGAGTGGGGCTAATAGGGGACTTAATAATTTAGAAAAGGGTTTTGGGGCCCATTATACTATAAGTACGTATAATAAGGCTGAGGCTTATTATAGGGTCTTTAGATTGCCACGGTTTGATACGATTTGGTAGTTTAGTGATACAGTGATACAGCTGCTTCGTTACGCCATGGGTGATGGATGGACAACTGTGCCACGATCACAACACGAAACATGACTTTCATCAGCTTCACAAGTGGTTCGGAACAGTTTAACTGAAAGGTTACAAGATGCCAGCTGTTTGCCTGGTGCTGGCCAAAGATCCCACTGCGAACTTGCAGAGCTGCCTGCATTTTCCGCGAGATCCTATTCCCAGCTCTTGTCTGCACATGTCCAACAATGTTCGAGTCAATGCATTCAAGGAGCTCATTTTCGAGCAGAGTAGCCATATCCTGCCAGGGGTACCCGGGTAGCCAGCCACATCACATGCGAATATCAGCTAGCTGCCGGATGCTTATTCGAGCGGAACACGTTTCGCGAAATACCGCATACCGTTATACCGTTGGCCCTCGATGACCACGAGCTCGGTTTCGCTTTGTAGCATGGCGTCTCCCTCGCGCCAACAACGAACAAATGCCACAGTCGAATGCCCGACCAGGGCGTCTGAACAGCTACATGGTTCCATTTAAAAGCTAGCAAAAGTTAGCAACTTGAAATGCTGACTGGTCCGACTGGAGCCCGTTTCGAGATGACCCTGCTGCTGAAACCTGTGGTGTCCGACGTTTCGGAACATTATCGGCAGTATTCAAACATGCCCGATACAAAAGTGCCCCCTGGAAAAAGGAACGAGGTACGCAGTTCAAAATACCAATTTGTACTTCGGCACATCCATCACAAACAATCCAAGGTAGTCTATGTCAAAATCAGCACTGCACTTGTGAAGGGGATGCGTCGCTTTTGTTGGTCGGCTTTCGAGTTACAGGGCACGCGATGCGGCAATATCGTGCAGCATGAAGGCTACATATTGTCCAAACTTCCGTCCTTGAACACTGGTCTCTTTTCTCAGGCCAGTCTCCACTTTCATGAAGATCCGAGACTGCATATTTTGATTTGGCGGCAACTGCACACACCGAAACACTCCAACTGGTTTCTGTGATTTGGGCGGTGCTTGGTGGTGTTTGGCGGTAGTTGGCGGTACGCCTGGCGGTGTTTGGCGGTGGATGGCGGTGTTTGGCGGTGTTTGGCTGTAGTAGTCCGTCAAGCGGGAAACATTGGGCGGTACACTCCAGGGGTGTCCGGCGGAACGTTGCGGTACGGCGCAGTCGCAATCTCAACCGGCCGTTTGCATTCTGCGGGACCTCTACTTCCAAGTGTGCACTTTCACGCGCGTCCCCCCCACTACAAATGGTTGAACCTCCGCCTGGCAAGTTTTGCAGCTTGAATATGCAGATGAGAGCTGTGGGCTGAGCGTCTGAACATGCTTCAGCTCTCCGAGTCGTCAAATCTGGGTAGTGCCCCAAATTCCCTACTTGCAAGCACAAGCTATACTCCCTGCAGAAGCCTCCACCCCTGACATGCATTCCAAACTCTCTCAAACAAAATCAGGGTTGCCATTTAGACGGTCGTCATAGCTCTACCCTTTGACTGCCCTATTTATTTTGAAAAACGGTATTTTCACCCCTTTGCCAAAAGGCACTTGCCACACAGGCATGTCTGGCATCTGCCGACATTAGCCGTGCCCTACATGCGTATGCGCCCTGAGAGCTCTTTACGTACCCAACACCTGGGGGAAATCTGAAGCCCAACAAACTTGACACACCTTCTTGAGCTCAGAAAGTTAAAGACCTCTGCAAGAAAAATGCAAGGGGTAGCATTATGTAACATCGACTGCTTCCTCCCGGTAGATCCCGGCCATGTCGACTGCATTATGGCGGCCAAGCATCATCGGCCTGGAAAACGAGGCTGAGGGCGTCCGGAATAGTTAGGGTTCCTACTCAGGTGGGAGGGGGCCCCGAGATTGAACGGATCCAGGTTTATGAGATACATTGTACATTCCAGACAAGGTATGAGGTCGTCCACACAGGTTTAAATCCGGCGACGGACGAAAATCATGGCAAGGGCAGTTCCCACACGCACATTTCCGGCGCACGTGTTCCTGGGGCTAGTCATACCGGAGCAAAGGTTTAGGACAAGGCTGAGAAGAGGTGAACAGAGAAGGTGATGAAGTGCGCTCATCCGCCTCTTGTGAAGCACAAGACTTTGGCAGTATGCTCAAACCTCCAAGCCAGGCCACAGGGGGAAGTGACAAGGGAAAAAGTACAGACTTTGATGTCAGAATGGTTGCTTTGAGGAAAAGATATACAAAAAAACAAGCATGGTACTTACTCCGGGTAACTCGCATACCCACCCTGAACCACAAACCCCTAGGCCGTGATTCCTAACCTCTGACAGCTAAAACCTACCCGTTAACCCATCGTCGACCGCTCTCTAACCCAAATCCCTAGAACCCCTAGACCCTAAACCCTAAATCCCCAGAAATCCCAACCCTTTACTCTAAACCCGAAGCCGTGATAAACCTCTTACCTAAAGCCCGGAACCATAAGCCCTGAAACCTCCATGAACTCCCAGAGCCTAAACCTAAATCAACCCTAAACCCTAAATCCCAAAAAGCCCCAATAAACAGGGCCCCCGGACCCTCCGAAGGCATCCGTGCCCGGCAGCCGCTCTGCAGCGAAAAACTCAGCTGCAAGCCCTGCCCGAGGTGACCTCGTCTTTATCCATAGGCTCCAGAGTAATTCCTTTTTGGCAATAGCTTATCGGATCCTATATATGAGCCCTAAAAATGGAGCCTCTGGCTACGAACAGCTTAGAAACTTATAGGGGTTAGCACTTAGCATCTAAATTTGTTCTTGGGTTTTGTAGGGTTTGGCAGGGCTGCATCAAGCAATATACGGCTTAGGGTTCTATGGCGGTTACTACAAGGAGTATAGCAGGGATAGAAGGATCCGTTAGGGTTTCGGGCCTGAGGTTTCGTATTTGTCTATATATATAACTATATCTTTGGCAGCTTTGTCGGTACATCGTACACTTTGCCAGAATATGCAGCAGCTGCCGGTCGTTTGTTTGAACACTATAAAAAGTGGGAAGTCGAAGCGGTACCAACATCCGCATGAAAATCCTTATCCCTGAATTCTGTTACCGATATATTTCCTCTTATCGTTTGGCCACGAAAAATGCGATGTCGTTTTGTTATCGTTCTATCTTCTTTAGGTCGTTTTCCGCGGAAAACCAGCAAAACAGAACGCGGACATGTCAATACTAAACTCAACTGCACGGGGGATATTATACAGTCCCACTTGCAGGTTTCCAAACATGCAGCACGATGAGAGAGCTGGACCAACAGCAAGAAAAACGAGAGACAGAGAGAGCACGAGGTACAGCAACTCCCGGATAGCCACCGCTTCAGGGTCTACTGCATGTACAAACGTTTGGGTTACCAGCCGACCACAAGACTTTTTTCGTTGGCTTCTAGACTGCTACTTCACGTCTTAAGTTTTCTTAACATCACGGAAGCCGTATTTGCGGGTGCTGAGACGAAAAGTCCTACTATCTAGGGTCGAGACTAGGCCCTATTATTCTTTGAAGCTGTCATCCGCAATTCGAAATTCAACCGTTATTGATTTTTTTTGCAGCACTCCACCTCAGTTGCATTTCGTGGAAAAGCTAAAGCAGGATCCTAGGTATCCCATAAGTGGCGCTAAACCAAACAACGTTGGAACAAAGCACCTTTTATGTTTGTGCTAAGAACTGAAAAGACCAGCAAAACGCGCCCGACTCATCTGGTACTTTGGCATATTCCTTGTTTTTGGTTTAGGGTGCAGGGATTACGACTGCCGTCACGTAGGTTCACCCTTCACAACACGAAGTGCTTTGCTTTCTTCATCGTGCATGGTCCCGTCACTAGCCCCGAAAAATGAAGAAATTCATATACCCTGGCTCCACGAAAATAGTCGGAAGAAAATAACAGCATCTAACAAAACCAAAACAGCCTGAGACTTGGAATCCCGAAGCGTCATAACGTGCGTCCGGATTGCTTCGGCGAAAGCTTCCACGAGCCCTGATCGGGACCTCATTGTTTAGCAAATCCGGGAGCGAATACGTATAGTTCGAGCAAGTTCCTGTTATTGTTTTGAGCCGTGCCTAGCTGCTTCTCGTCTCACTACAATAACATTGTAGCTTGGCATGATCCTCCTCGTCCGCACTAGTGAGAACAATCCCACGGGGTCGTACCCTCGCAGTCTATGATGTCGGCTTTATAAGTCTTCCATCATGCAAACTTTTAACCCTGGCATATGATGGCATATGCAAGGTCTATTGGTTCTTGCCGATTGAGGCTGTAAGGCTAAAGGTTCCTGCTGAACAATCTGGTTGTCATTGTGCTTCAGCAAGGTCACTAAAGCCTTCCCAAAACCTCACGACTACCACTACCCTGTCGAAGATATCTGAGTCCTCGGCACGACTCGCCCCACTCCTGCAATTTCGGACGGCTGGTCACTGCGCCATGCTGTCGGTTTAAAGTACAAAGCTTGGTTTCTACTGTAGCTTCACCTGCCCAAATCTCCGGCTTGGTAGCATTGAAAGATCTAGAACCTACAGTTGCAGAACCTGCGCGGCTTTTCCCCTAATGTTGAACGGCTCTATCAATATATAGGGGCAGTTCTCTAAAGTAGGGTCCCTTGTAAAGTCTTCTTGATAAGGATGTCGTGCTATTTTGGGTATTTTACAGAAGTATTCATAAAGACGTAACACAAAAATAATTAAATACACAAATGAAAAACTGAAACGCAAAGGTGTAGATATCATGATATGCAGACACATGTCTGTACATAGGACACATGCAAGGATATGTTCGGTTCGCATTGCATGCGTGTGATCGTCTGAATGCGTTGTAACCGCATCAGTTGGACTTGGAAGAAGGTGCTGACGTGCTGGATATCGGGTGATGACCTCTGCAACAGAGGACATATGCGATCATGTCGAGATTTCAGTCCGCCAAAGGCTAAAGGATCCAGTGGGTAGTACCGAGCATCAATTAAACTCATGCGGCCGAAACGAGATGAAAGTTCGCTGTGGCTATGACCTCGCTCATGGCAACAAATAGGATTATACACATCCCAGCATGCATGCCGTATGACATATGCGTATGACATGACATGTATTCACGTTCTGTCATCAAGCGGCCGATGCATGCAGGTAGAACGAACTTGCGAATACGCAAGGTAACCATGTAATTAGCTATGTAGGCTTCCGGAGTATCTAAATACATGAATGGCACATCTCGGTGTGCATAGACATACATACATACATGCATACATACAATGACGGCAATTCATATAAGCAAAGCATGGGAAAGTCCTAAAACCCGTATAGCACGTTCATATCTGTATCTCGTACTGTGCAGGAACGACTTGCTGCTTTCACTTTGGTCCCAGGCCCTCCAAAATCACGTCTACCGGAGCGTGGTGTCCAGAACACGTGGTGTTGCTACGTGTAGTGCTTCGGTCTCGAAAACATGCGAATCCCAAACCACGTCTGCCGCTTTAACTTTGTTCCCAGGCCCTCCCAAACCACGTCTGCTGCTTTCACTTCGGTCCCAGGCCCTGCAAAACCACGTCTGCTGCTTTCACTTTGGTCCCAAACCCTCCCAAACCACGTCTGCTGCTTTTCACTTTGGTCCCAGGCCTCCAGAACCACGTTTGCTGCTTTCACTTCGGTTCTAGGCCCTCCACAACGTAACCACGATCCGACGGCTTCGCCTTTGTTTCCGGCCTCACCCGACAAAATTTTAGATGCAGTATGGCCTCCCGGACTTTTGCTCCAGCTTCACCCAAAAGCTGCTGCGTGCCCTCCCGGGCCTGTGCTTCCGGCCTCACTCCAAAATTCTGAGCTGCAGTATGTTCTCCAGCATCTTGCTCTTGCTTCCAATCACCCAAATCCGGGCTTGATTCAAGAGCCGAAATGCAAAGATCCAAAGCAACAGCATGGACCGAAAAGCTGTGGAACTGAAGACGTGCTACGCGCTGTCGGAGCAGCACGCACCGGCCCTTTCCGTTGCACTTCTGGCCATTTTCCTTTACAGGCAGCCTGAACGGACAGTCCCGTGAATTACAAATTTGGGGTATCTCCTCGTTCGAGAAGAATTAACATGCTCTGGAACGTGTCACACTCGGCACACATTATCAAGATCTCACTGTGCGACATTTGGGCGTTTCGCCAACTTTACGACCACCCGATTTCCGGCATTGCTCAACCAATCATGCGTCTGCAGAAAATGGAGATTAGCAGTGGAGTAATTTATTGTCACTACCACTGGAATACCATACATATATTGACGGCACAAGTTCATCCCGCCGTGGAGCCAAATTCCACCAAGTTATCGCATTTCCCCTGGAGCTTCTCTTGATGATCCACGACCAACTGAAGATCGAACGTCGTCAAGCACCAAGCCATCATGGAAGCCACGTTGAAACCTGCGCATCCCGTCAAGGAAAAATGCCAACGAACCAATCTTGAACTCCATCGGGTTCCTGAAAAGACTTTTGGCCCACTCCGTCTTGCCAGCTCTTGAAGGCCCAGTGACCACTAGAATGGCATAGCACAATGCATCCTTGGAGAAGTTTCGCAACCACTCCTCTGCTGCAGGCACCTCTGGAAATGGAGCATAGATTTCCGGATTACCACGAATGCGTTTCACACGCTCTGACACGGCCGCCTGCGCCTCGCGCTTGGATGTCTGTTCCTGACACGCACGCAGATTACTCATGCGAGCTGGCACGCCGTCGCGAGACAGACTTGATATGAAAGCAATGATTCTGTCCAACATGGCATATAATTGCCAGCTGTCAGCATGACATCCTTCTGCGAACCGTTCCTTGCTTGCCAGCAAACACATAGAAAAAACAACCTCGGTTGATGGATTCTCGAAGGCGCTTGCGACACAAGCCATCTCCACACAGATCCGTGCAGGAAGCGTTTGGACGCACGTTCTGGAATTTGAAATCCTGTGCCATGCGCCCTTCTGAGGCTGCCGTGAATTCAAGCATCAGATGAACATGACACTTTCCGGATTTGCATTTCTCCATGGTCGCACACCAATGCAGAACCTTCCAGTTTGCCAAGGATGACTCCACAAAGCTCAGAAATGCATCCCACCTGCCGACACCAATCCCCATGTAGGTCAGCAAAACTGCAGTCGAACGAATCCGATACTGCTTCTCTGCTACACACAGACCCGCTTCGGCAACAGCGTGTTTCTTAGACGTTGTGCTGCCCGTGTTCTGTTTGGCTGCTCGCCATGCTTCCCTTGCAGAGTGAACCTTGTCGAAGGCCTCTTTGGAGCCGCCCTCGTCTGGGTGCACCTTCCTGATGACACGCCGGTATGCTTCTTCCAGGTGCTCATCAGGGCTGTCCCGGTTGAACCCGGGGTTGAGCATAAAGAGCATCACATGTTTGAGCCATTCTAGAGTCAGAATTTAGGGGTTTATAGGGGAGTGCTGGAGTTCCGTGACTCCATGTGCGCATTGAGGGCACCCAGTCCGGGACTCGCGAGTGATCCTCCCGCTCGACCGGGCACCCTCTTTGCACAACCCTTATTTGAAGGCACCCAGCCCCGAACTCGAGTGATGCTCCCGCTCGGCTGGGCACCTTCGCATCCCAGGCACCCACCCTGATGCGTGAACGGTTTGTTTTGGCGCGGCATCCGGCATCCACGACCTTTGCCCAAAGCAAGGGTTAAAACCCGAGCCAGGAAAAGAGAAAGAGAAAGAGAGAGAGAGAGAGAGAGAGAGAGAGAAAAAACAAAAAAAACGAACCTACACGCGCCCTCTCGGTCATGGCAGATGCGCCCTCGCAGTCTCTCCGAAACTTGCAAAATAACAGTTTTCATGCGCCCTCTCCGTTCAGATACGCCCTCACAGTCTCTCAGCAAAGAGGCAAAGGCCAGGCATCGACACGGCATCGGAACGCTCAGCCGAGGTTCAGGGTTTATAGGGTCGAAAGCTGAGGGGAGAGCGTGCAAGCCAGCACCTACACGCGCCCTCTCGGTCGTGGCAAATGCGCCCTCGCAGTCACTCCGCCTAAATGCGTCCTGTCGGTGCGGATGCGCCCTCACCGCCTCTTACATATAGCTCAGAGGCCCAGGCAAAGCATCGAAACAACGGAACCCTCCGCCGAAGCTCCGGGTTTTAAGGTGAGGGTTTCTTTAGGAGGAGAGAGTGCAAAACAGCGCTTCAACACAACAGTCTACATCTGTCGACATGCACCCTCTCTTTGCACATGCGCCCTCAACGTCTCTTCGAGCACAAGGCCCGGGCTAGGCATCGAAAGACAAGGAACCTAAGCCGAAGCCTTCCAACGTGCAAAACGATAGCCTCTGTCATAGCAGGTGCGCCCTTGCAGTCTGCCGTCACAGGCCCCGACATCGAAAGACACCGCATCTGAACCCTGAGCCCAGGTTCAAGCTTTTAAAAGAAAACTGCAAAACAGCACCTACACTACACACGCCCTCTCGGTTGTGGCAGATGCGCCCTCGCAGTGAACCCCGAAAGAAAAACTGTGTGTGCTGTCCATTCCGCCTTGTGGTGTCAAGAAGATGCCCCATGCAGCATGCACATGGAAAAACTCATATCTGTGCCTGTGCTCTGTCTGAACTCCATGTTTCAGGCGGGGGTTTCAGACGTCTGCTGCCCTTACTTCAAAATTCAAAATTACATCGAGATTGGTTCGTCTGATGCCACTCCTACAAGAAAGCCTACCCTCCCACATCTGATACATCTGGCCGTCGCAGGCACTCACAAGTGGAAGATTTTGGGCGATAATCCTAAACCGCTTGAAACTCTACAACACAACCAGACATGCAGAGCGTTGCGAAGCCCTTTTTTGGCACAGCGCGTGTCCGTAACGACATGCCTTCCTTCGCCAGCAAACCCCAGAAGCTGCGCTTGCAAACTCCAGGCCGCACTCTTCGAAAAAACAGTTTCTGCAAGCTTCCAAGGAAGCTTCCAGTCTCAACTTTTCGAAAAAACAATTTCTGCAAGCTTCTACCTCGCTCAGCTTTCGTGCCACCGCCCGCATTTTTTCAGTTTTTATGTTTCGGCCTTTACCACCTTGCTGAGCTGCTTGGCCTGTACCTGGAGAGGCACACAAGGCTGTACAAGAAAAGGCCTCAGCCTCCTAACACACACAATGCTGTGAGCTTTCGCAGCTGCCCTGGCAGCTTTTAAGGGCAGCGAGGCGTTCGTTCAGCGTCTCCAGGCATAGATACAAATGAGCAGCTGCTCCAGTGGATGTTCTTTGGCATGGCTACCGAAGCTCAAGTCCCGCAACCTCAGCCTCGGCCGCCGTTTGTTTCAGCAGGAGTGCTGTGAAACAGTGTTGACCAGCCTCGTCGTTCCCCATGCCTTCAGCACGGTGTTTTAGGGCAGGGTTTGCTGCAGCCAAGCAGGAGAAATTTGCCAAGCGCCAGATCAATTG